TAATATTTTTATTATATAATTAATATAATATTAATATATAATAAAAATATTTTGCAAAATTGAAAAATCTAGTAAAGGTACTATCGCTATTTCAAAAGTTCAAGATATATTAGTTCTAAAAATAAATTTCATATTCGATACCCGATTTGTGTAACTGATAAATACTCTACTTTTTCGAAAACTCAAAAATCAAGTTTTTACTTAATTTTGCCAAGCACTACATACAAGAAACAATTAATATAGTGAATAAATTTTATGAATTAAATGATATCGAAATAAACCTAAATAAAACAGAGCTAGTAGTTTTTAAACCAGAAATAAAAAGAGATTTTGAAAAATATTTTATTTGGGCAGGAACTTCAAGAACAAAGATTTTAGCTAAAAGTTACAAAAAGGCAACCCATTTTCTTGAAGTGTAAATATCAATAAGAAATTAACAGAGATCAGACATAGAGAGAGCAAAAAAAAAAGTAAAGAGAATTACAGATTTGCTAAAGTATAAAAAAAGTCTCTAAGTCAAATTATATATTTAAACAATATAGTGTTAGTGCTGACACTAGAGTATAGACTAATGCTCTTATGTTTAATTAAAACACAATGTAATAAAATTTATCAGCCCATGATATGCTTAGCAAAATGGAAAATGTCAATACCTTCTATAACAGCAAACTCAATATTAAAGCACCCAGAGATTGTAAACCTCAAAACTCTTTGAAATAAATATATAGATTATTATATTACAGAACTGCTAGTAAGATTAAATATGAGCAGGCCTCTAGAAAAGTCAATGATGATAAGGCTAAAACAGTAACAGTTTAAATCAGGCTTAACAAAATATTGTAAAATAATAATATTTTTAGATTCAACGGTCTGTATGGTCATGTGGTCACGCGTCATGGTTATTACTAAGTCATCTTTCTTAATATAGTTTTTCTGTTATTTATTTGCTATTTACTATTTTTGTTATGCATAAATTCGTTATGCATAAATCGTTACGCATACGATTGTTACGCATAAATCGTTATGCATAAAATCGTTTTGCATAACAGGGCCAGTAAACAGTTTAAAGATTTATTTAGAATAGTAGTTATTCATAGAAGAATTATAAAAGAGATGTAAATTGGTCTCTTAAAGAGACATGATCTGCTATCATGTCCTAACTACTATCTAATAAAAGCCTCTTCGTCTTGTAATCTCTTCTAACAAAAACCTAACCCAACCCAAAACCGAATATTTCGGTTACATTTGGCGACGACGACAGGATCGTGTCGCCTATTTGAAGAAATTCAAGCCCGAAGAGAGCTGTTTCGTACCGATGCCCCTTCTATATATGCGCCTACATTCCACGTTTTGTCCTATCTATATGCCCTGCACGTTAGTAGAATAAATATTAAAGAAACGAAAAACGAAACATATATCATGAAAAAGGATACACCGCTTCTAAAAATCACAGTTCATACGTCCACGACCCGACAAGTGTGACTTCGTATTTTTCGCGTCCCGTATCTTCCACCTAAAACCCGTACCTTTACAAAGAAAACATTAGGAAAATAAGAATTTAACGTTCCCTTATAATAACGTTTTGCCCCAATAAATATATGAACGAAAAACAAAATATAAAACATAAAAAGGATACGTCGATTATATAGACGCCTCAACTTCATATAGCCCCTAACGTCCCGTGCTTTACGTCTGATTCCAGACATGCCTCTTGTTCGCAATAGCTTAGGCAAAAGTTCCATGCCCCATATTCGTCTAAAATGTCCCACGATTAATCGTTTAGCCCCAACCTCAAAAGAAACGATAAGTATAATAATAATAAAAAAAAAAAAAAAAAAAAAAAAAAAAAAAAGGATACAACTGTTCTATAGCCAAGGCATTCTAAACTTGGTGATTTATCTCCAAAACAAGATCCTACCGACGTTCCGAAAAGAGATCCCGAAGTCCTGCGATTAATGATGTTGGTTTCTGTTATCAACATGGAATTGGTGTAAAGGAAAAGATGAAAAGAAGGCTTTTGAATATTATATGAATCTCTTTTATAAAAAAAAAAAAAAAAAAAAAAAAACATAATTAGAATAGACCATACTTAGCCCATATACAGTTGTTCCCACCGTTTCCAAGGAAATATACGCAGCTTTTAAGGCTCTTGCGTCTTTTACCGGTCTAAACCAATTCCCCAAGTTCAGTCCCATTAGTCCAACTCGGTCTTTAGCCCATTCGACCACAGTTACTTAAACTCCACTAACTGTTTTCTGCCTTGACGGGTCCGCCCCAAGTACTGGAAGACCTAACAAATTGATCTTGGAAATTAAAAGACCCGGCCCTTATATGTCCAGACTAGGCAGCAAAAAAAAGGAACCCGTTTGCCACCATTACGGAAAGGGGACCCCGGTAAACTCCAGATCCCGAAGTTCGCGATGCCCGAACTCTTCGAAAAGAAGAGTTAGTACGGGCGCTTTGCCGAAAAGAGCTAATCAAGAAAGAAAAACGACGAAGAAATCTTTACTTGGAGTCCAAGAACAGAAGCTCGAATTGAAGACCTCGAAAGCAAGTTGGAACCGGACAAATAGATCTAACAATGGAACAAGACCAGCCTAACGACACGAGAAGAAGTACAAGCAAGCTGGCTGCAAGATCTAGAAACGACGTCGTACTTTGGAGTTCTTTACTACGTCGGTACGGGGAGATCTTGAATCCCTGGATTATAAGGAAAGGTACAGTAAAAGGCGTAAAGAACCATAAAAAGCAAGTCAAAAAAAAAAAAAAAAAAAAAAGACTTGACCGAAAGATCTCGCCACCAACACCTCGGGTCCAAGATCGGTAACGGTAAAAGATCTTGGAAGTCCATTCGCCGTGGAAGGGTCTTTGTGAAGCCAGGGCCAAAGAAATCACCGAAAGAAAACTTGGAACGACGTAGAAACGAACGTAAAAGCCGATAAGACTAAAAAGGGGCTGGAAAAGAAAAAGAGGAAATAAATGGATCAAGAAATAAGAGAAAAAGAAGGGACAAAGAATGGGTGTGGAAATAAAAAGGAAAGAATGGGGACTCCGAAAAGATATACCTAACTTCATTTTTTAAGCTCACCCGGAAAGGCCTTATTAAAGTACTTGGGCACTACGTTCGTAAGAAATTGACGCCAGTAAAGAGGAAAGATCTTGGAAAGTGCCGAAAGGGTTCTGGTTTAAAAAAAAATGAAAAAGGTTAAGTTTAAAAGGTGAAAAGCGCGAAACTATAATCTGACGATCACGTGGGTGACGTCAAGAACGAAAAGACGAAAGAAATACCTCTTATATGTTCGGAGCGTCGATCCGAACCCGAAAGAGTCGATAGTAAAGAAAGGCCTCAAGCCCTAAGAATAAACGAATAAGTAGTCAAATAAATACAGAAATAGTAAGTACTTACCCCAAATTTCGAATGCGAGGTTTTAAAAAAAAAAAAAAAAAATTTTTTTTTAGACGTTAGATTTTTTATTTTTATTTTTATTTTTTTTCTCTTCAGTTGTTATTTTAGACAGATTATTATTTTTTTTAAGTTGTTTTTGTTTAAGAATGTAAGGCATAATGATAAAGCCTGGTCTGGCGAGGAATAAGACCTACGCGTGTTGGCTATAGGTTAGCCATGGAAAAGTTTTTTGGTTGTGGGGTTATCCCGTTTAAAACCCCTAAGTTTTTTTTTGGTTGTGGGGTCATCCCGTTTAAAACCCCTAAGTTTTTTGGTTGTGGGGTTATCCCGTTTAAAACCCCTAAGTTTTTTTTTTTTTGGTTGTGGGGTCTATTTAAAACCCCTAAGTTTTTTTTGGTTGTGGGTTATTCTGTTTAAAATCTCTAAGTTTTGGTTACGGGTTATCCCAGGTATAAAACCCTTGTTAGTTTTTATTGAATTTAGTTTATAGAGTTCTGGTTACAGGTACACCAAGGAACCTAAAACCCCTAAATAGAATTAGATTATTATTTTTTTATATAGAAGTTTAGTTTAGATTTCATAATCACTGGTTAATTATGCTCGGTAGAGACACCAGACAGATGCGATCACATAATATGCGCATAAAATGCGATTGATTTTTACTAAATTTAGATCATTTATGTGGCATAATGTGACGAATTTTAAGTGAATAATATTCGCACTATACATATGTACGTAATTGTTCATAATTATCACAATAGTGATTTGTTATCATATGATCGTCTTTTGTTGTAATTGTTGATATGTATCAATATTGAATAAAGTATTTGGAATGTTATGTAATTGTTATGATATCAATATAAGTATTTAGAACGTTATAATTTTGCTTTAATTTTAACGATGGGAAAAACCAAGTTTACAGCCTTAGAACGTGTAAATTCCAATGACTATAAAGATGATTTTTACGAATCAAATAATAAAATGTTTTGCATCGCTTGCAAAACTACTGTTAATTACACTAAAAAATCTGTAATTGATAATCATCTTAATTCGACATCACATAAAAGTAAAAAACGTCTCATAGGAGCATCCTCAAGAAATATAACAAAACAAGAAATTAATATAGCGTTAGTTAAAGCATTTGCGGAAGCTGATATCCCACTAGAAAAAGTCAATAAATTACAAACATTCTTTAAAGAATATTGTATTGAAGGTAAATTGATCTAATACACATGTTATATATATTATTAAATATTAATTTTTTTTAATTATACTGTAGGTGATAAGATCGTTAGTGCAAATCAAATGCGCGAATATTATCTTCCACAAATTTTTCAAAGTGAAGTAGACGAATTAAAAAATCTTTTAATTAATCAACTTATTTCAATTACAATTGATGAGACAACTGATGCCTGTGGACGTAGTGTTGCTAATGTTTTAATTAGCTTTCGCGATCAAACTAAATTGGTTAAAACAGAATATTTAAATAATGTTAATCATTCTACAATTTCACAATTAATAATATCAACTTTAAATTTTTATGATATCTCTTTTTCTAAAGTTGTTTTATTTATTAGTGATAATTCCGCATATATGAAAAAGGCCTATTCAGACGTATTAGTTCAAGTAATGCCTCGACTTAAACACAATTGTTGTTTCGCTTATATTTTAAGTTTAGTTGGAGATTGTTGGATATATTTTGATAATTTTAAGATTCTTACAACTGTAACTTCTAATATCAAAGAAGCCTTTTCTCATTCTCCTATTCATAAAAGAAGATGGTTAAAATTCCTTTCTTCAAATCTTGTTTCGTTGAATCCGTTAGATTTATCTCCAGAATCATCTGAACTTAACTTACAATTGCCTCCATTATTCGTAAAAACTCGTTGGAATAGTTGGTTTAATTTTGTT